AAAAGAGAATGCCAGTGGAGAGTTTGACGGGACTAGTCCCGTATGGCAAGTATGCAATGCAATGCCGACGGGATTGTATGTAACATGCTGACGTGGCTATTGATCTCGTAATAATTCAGACGGGATTGATCTCGTAACTACCATTTACAAGTTTGACTGTATTAATATGAAAAAAACATATCAAACGTGCTTTGAGTGGGCAAATCATTTAACAAACGTTCTTACAAAAGCAACATGGTGCGTAGGTGATTATTTTAGAGGGCTTCTAATATAAGACATTAGAGATTAATTGACACTTCCATCTCAAGATATAGTTACACGTAATTCAAGCTTCACAAAGGTGTTACGGAACTTTTTATGTAAGTACAATTTCCATTAAATATTTCAAAAGAAAAAAAAGAGGGATAAAAAATATTTTTGTACTTCTGTGGTTGTATGCCTTGTTTAATTAGTCAACACTATTATTGATTGTTGTGTGAATGTTAAATAAATTTATCAAAAATATCATAAAACCCTAAAGACAACACTGCACATTTGAGATGCTTATAAGTCGATTAGAAAAGAAGAAGAAGAAGCAGCAGCTTTAATTAATCTGGCCTCCAATGAAAATGATAAACAATAATGAATATATATTCTTTTGAGTCCTCAACAAAAAACACAGAATCCATTTTAATCTTTTAGGAAAAAAAAAATCAACTTATAATTCTTTGTGGATGATAATTTAAATAATTTAAGTTAGACCATTAACGGTGATGAAAGCAGAGAGAGTAAATTAAATTTGTTAATGAGTAATTGTAGAACACTGATTGATACTAAAATAGTCAATGAAAAGAAAAGTCATTTAACACTTTATTATTTAAGTAAATGAAAATATACATAAAATAATACTAATTGTACCTTAATTAATAATATAAGATACTTGTTAATCGAAAAAAAAAAGTAATAAAAAATATATAAAAAGCTTTTACGTATGAGCAATGTTACCCATACGAATGTAATAAAATGTGTAAGACAAAAAAAAAGACGAAAATAAAAGAAAGAATTAAAAATGCATGAACCAATCAGTTTTTTCCCCACCTTTCTAGGACGTGCAGGGCACTACATCCAACTGTCAATTATGTTGTTATGTGGAGAAAAAATTAGACTCGTGAATATTATTGTCCGGAGAGCGAGACATGATATGTCAAGTTGTCCTATATGATCTGATGATTGTGCAAATAATTAAGCGAATGATGTCTCTACGGAGCTGTTTGGTACGAAGAAAAAAAAATTGGCCAGAAAAATAAAATAATAAAAATAATATGACGATGTTTGGTACGTAGGAAGATTAGGAAAAAATGTTGGGAAAAAAAGCTAATTGTCTTTTTACTTTGTACACAAATGGGTTGGAAAATTTTGTTATTGTAGATGTGGTTACATTTTTTTTTCTGTTGGTGGCAAATTTTTAACACCATGACAAAAATACGCTACTTCACACGGTCAGAATTTTTACTTGTTACAAAAAAATCTACAGATGTTTGTTAGTCCAAATGGTCTTCAACAGAGAGAGAATGACGATGAATGTATAAAAAAAAATACGAATTTCAACAATTTCAAATTCATAGATATTTTCATAATTTCAGTATATATTTCTATCATTTTTTTACAATTAACCAAACATACCTTAGTAAAATCTTTTCAAGTTTCCCTGCAAAATTTTGGCCTACAAACACCTTTTTGTTACTTATCCGGTAACAAAAACTTCTCATCATATTCTCATGCAATTTTTTTTCCCGGTCAAAAAAATTGTCTCCCATACCAAACGCCCTAATAGCGAAAGGGATTGTCTCTCGTTAAAAAAAATAGATATGATATGATTATGTGAAAAAATTATGATCATATAAAGGTGAATTATTGATTATAATTTTATAATTATTTATTTTAATATTTTTTTCTCTCTATTCTTTTATATGATTTTACTCATGACCATGTTATTTTCTTTAACATGAGAGGATTTAATCCCCTCTAATAATTGTTATCAAATAATTAAGTGAGTAACTGCTTATGACATGTTAATCTCAAACTAAATTAAGAAGCCAAACAATCAAAGAGAATCCCTAATTCGTAATTTTGTTACAGAAGTGTTTGAGGCCTTCGATCGGATTAATGGTTTTCGATAGAAAAAAGACCAGTGGTGGTGGATATTACTTGGCAATTCTCAGGAAAGATTTTGTTAAGGTCAACTATGATGGTGCTGCACGTGGCAACCTTGGTCAAGCATCCTGTGGAGGGGTTATTCGTGATGCACAAGGAAGATAGATTGTGGGTTTTGCATTTAGGTTAGGTGTTTGTATTCTTTCAAAGCTGAATTGTGGGGTGTCCTCTGGGGTTTAGAACTTGCTTGGAGTTGTAAGTGGTTATTGAAAGTGATCATCGTGTGTGGTCACTGTGATCACCAACCATGGTGTAGCTGCTCGTGAGGGTCATATGATCTCTCACATACGAGCATGGCTCCGAAAAG